TCCAAGTTGGGAGTTTGGGTAGTAGCGGTTAGTTACATTTCAAAAGCTACTTTTGGAATTGAGTGTTAATATAGATAGTTTGATTTAAACATGCCACCGTAAATAAAGTTCGAGCTATAAGTGTTCATAAATATTATCTGGATCCTAAGTCTTCGTAAAATATAAAGTGCCAGTTTCAGCCTGTATCAGAAATCTTAAAGAATGCATTTTGTTTTTTATAAACAAAACCCATTGTGCTACTTGGAAGTTATTCATGTCCGGCCCCTTGAAGACCTTTTGAATATTTCAAATGAGTAGCATCAAGAGAAATGTATAGTCTTGTTTTAGTTTATTTTCAAAGGTTATTTTTCTATGTATGCAAATTACCAAAATAATTATAAATGGATTGCACTTAAATTATTATTGTCATAATTGAGTCATCTATGTTCATGGTTGGCTTTGAAAGAGTTTTCACTCCTTATTTGTAGGATTATTGATGCTATTTTTAGCTAATCTGGCAGTCCTTGAGTATACATTAAAAATTTTTTTAAACAAAACTATGCAAAACTTAAAACAGAGTTGTTTTTCATTCACATAGTGGCTGCTCTCAAATGAGGCTAAAACTGTCTGAAGAATGTTCTTGTGCATATGCCAAGAGGCTTCTGGGATGGGCATATTTTTGAGAATTTAGAACATAAACAACTGTGATCTGTGGCAAGAGATTTAAATGACCTCATAATGATGATGAGAACAAAGCATTTTTAAGTTATCGTTGTGCTGTGTTAATCCATGGCAATGTATTTGTCATTTTACTATTTTGGTGTGTTATATGAAAGCCCAGCAAAAAATAATACAGACAGTATTTAACTGAAGATGCTATTTATTGTTGTAAATAAACAAAATGCCAGAAAAATATAAAATATTTCCTGGGAATAAATATTTCATGAATTATTCTAGAGCTATAGGACCTTTAAAAAAAACCACATGAATTGCTTTGGGATAAAGGCCATTTGTTTAGATGTTAAAGTTTTGATTCATTTTCTGTTGGAGAGAACATGTTCCAAACATCAAAGATCAAACAGTTGGCTTGAATAAGAATCCTTCCTTCAAGACAGATCAGTTAAGTGCTTAAGTACTTATTCTGTGTCTGGCACTGTCCTAAATATTATGGAATACAAAAGAAGGTGACTTAAGTTGCCTTTGGTCTAGTTGGAAGAAAAAGCATACTCAGATGAAACTTCTAAAGTGGAAAAGACATTATATAATCAAATGCCAAAAGAACCCCATATCATTTATAATACAAATAATGAAATAGCCTTTGTTTTCCGAAATGTCTTCTAATAATTGTCCAGAACAGTGGTTCTCAACGAGGGGTGATTTTGCCCCCCAAGGGGACATGTGGTAATATCTGGAGACAATTTGTATTTTTACAACTGGGGCTACTGGCTTCTAACGGATAGGCTAGAGATACTGCTCAAAAAAGTCCTAAAATGCACAGCATTATCCTTCATAACAAAGAATGTGTCTGGTCCTAAATGATAGTGCTGAAATGAATAACCCTGATGTAAAACCTACAAATGTCTGTGTTGGTCAGTTTTGAAGTTGTTGAACATGAACTCCCATCTTCCTTAGACCTCTACAGCCCCTATAAATGTTCTTTACCTGAGGCCCTTGGATCCTTGCATACAGATGAACATTGGGTATCTGTAAACTCCCTGAACATAATATGCAAGTTTTTCTAGTACATTGTTTCAGGGAGGGATTCCACAGCTTTTATAAAATTCTCAAGTTATGTCCCAAGAAAAGCCAGAACAGCTCCATGCCTATTATCGCCCCTGAAGATCTTCCAGTAGAATAAGATGTGGAAGTTTGGAAGACAGTGATATTGATGATTCTGATGCTATGTAGGCCTATGTGTGTTTGTGTTTTAGTTTTAACAACAACAACAAAAAAAGCTTACAAAGTTTTTAAAAATTAAAAGCTTTAAAAATAGAAAAAAGCTTATAGAATAAGAATATTAAGAAGGAAAATATTTTTGTGTAGCTGTATAATGTGTTTATGTTTTAAGCTAAATGTTATAATAAAAAGAGTCAAAGTTAAAAAAAAATAATAATAATAATGAATGCCCTGGCCTGCTGGCTCAGTGGGTTGGAGCATCATCTCGCACACAGAAGTTTGCAGGTTCGATTCTAGGTTGTAGAGTCAATCCTGGTCAGGGCACAGATGGGAGGCAACAGATTGATGTTTCTCTCTCACATCCATGTTTCCCTCCCTTCCTCCCTCTCTCTTTCTCTCTAAAATCAATGAAAACATATCCTTGGGTGAGGATTAAAAAAATATTTTTAAGTTTATAAAGTAAAAATGTTACAGTAAGCTAACATTAATTTATTATTGAAGCAAAAGATTTTTTAATAAATTTAATATACCCAAAGTGCACAGTATTTATAAGTCTACAGTTGTATATAGCAGTAATTTTCAACCTTTTTCATCTCATGGCACACATAAACTAATTAATAAATTTCGGCAGCACACCAAAAATATATTTTTTTTGTCAATCTGACAAAAAATAGGTATAATTTTGATTCATTCATACTGAACAACTGTTGTTGTGTTGGTTGTTACCACTTTTTTATTTGACAATCTAAGGGAGAAGAGGTCAGTGCCCCTGACTGAATAGTCAGGTATGCATGTTTTAAAAATTCTTGTGGCACACCAGTGTGCCATAGCAAACCAGTTGAAAAATCGCTGGTGTATAGTATTGTCCTAACCCTTCACATTCACTTACCACTTACTCGCTGACTCACCAGAGCAACTTCCCAGTCCTGTATGTACCATTTTTAATTTTTTATACCATATTTTTGTTGTACCTTTTCTATGCTTAGATATGTTGAAATACACAAATACTTATTGTGTTACAGTTGCCTACAGTGTTCAGTTCAATAACATGCTATACAGGTTTGTAGTCTAGAAGCAATAAGCTATACAGTAAGCCTAGGTGTGAGCAGGCTGTGCCATCCAGGTTTGTGTAAGGGCATTCTACGATGTTCACACAGCAAAACCGCCCAACATGAATTCTCAGAAAGTATCTTGACATTATTCGATGCATGATTATAATCAGAGAATACATTTTGTTGAAAAATATATCTAAACATAATACTTAATATTTTGGAGTAAATAAAATATTTCTTAACTTGTTTGGAAATTATACAGTAGTAGACTACCTTAAAGATTATTATTTAAACACATGTAATAATATAATACTATACATTTAGAATGTGAAACTCGCTTGTGTCCTGACCCTTTGGCATAATATATGTTATTTCATTTTGTTATTTGAAATCAACTTATTTTGTCAGGAATTGCTGCTTTCTCTCAAATGGAGATCCCAGTTTATATTTCCTAGGTGCTGTGTGTCTCTTGATTCGGTCAGAGATTTGGACCTAGGTGCTGTGTATCTCTTGATTCGGTCAGAGATCTGGACATGGTTTTATACATTTCACATTTCTCCTAAAATCTGCTCAGTAAAGAGAATTGTTTTTTTTCTTATAAGCAGCGTTTTGAAACTGAGAGTTATGTTTCTGATTTGGCATCCAAAGAATCAGAGTCCTACCATCAGTATGTCATAAAAACAAATCTACATAACCTTGAGTATACATACAATTTAATACTTTTCTAAGTCATAGAAATTCGGAGATTAAATCTGAGTTTAAAAGCCATGAAAGGGACCATAGAGATCATCTATTGTACTTGTTTTATGCTGCCCTTCGGGGCTCAAGATTCAAAGCACTACTTTTAGTTGTATATATTTGAATTTCTACCAAATATGTTCTTTGAGAGGGAAAAATGGTGTATTTGGAAGGGACAGTTGCATGCTTCTGATCTAGACCAACCTCATTTTGCAGGTGACAAACCTGAGGCCCTAAGCTTTAGATTTTACTCATGGACTTTACATTTCTTCATTCTAAGTCAAACCAGCATTTCAGATGTATCTGGTTATGGTATTTCGGATAACCAGGAATTCAGATTTCATATGTTTAGCTTCCTAGCTGCATGTTCTTAGGCAACTAAGAGTTCAGTAAGAACTAAGAGTTCTTACTGAACTCTCAGTCTCAGGAAAAATGAGAATTATTATATCTTTAAGATTGTTTTCATTATCTTAGAATTTAAAATGTATCTGGGAAGATTATCTGGATGGACCATGTCAGCATTTTGAATCATTCTATTACTGTTTTTTAAAGGGATTTTGTATCATATAAATATGAAACCCCTTCTTCCCCAAGCCCAACCATGACCTCCAAAGAAATACTACAAAGTAAAACAAACATCTTTATTATTAAAGGGGACCACACAGTAGTCATATTTTCTGTACTTTGGCAATAATGAGGGTCTCCATGGGCTGATATTATCAGCCTTGGGACTTTTTTTTTTTTTACATTCTCAGACACTCCAGCTATTACATAAGCCAGTTAGAAACATTCAGGAGCTGCAGAATACAAGAAACAAAGACTTTTAGAGTCTAATGAAATATAAGAGCAAATAACAATATTGAAAGAGTTAAACCATACGAAATGGAATGTGAACTTAGTGGTCCTTTTGATCTTAAAGATGTGGCCTGACAGGGTGCTTAAGGAGTGATTATGAGAATGCTTTCTTCCTGGGGTATTGCAACAGGGGTTGCCTTACCAATCAGCTTTTGTTAATCACCTGTTCCAGAATTACTAGAATCTCAAAGCAGTTAATATAGAGAAATGAAATTTGAGGCTAAATAAAGGATTTTTCTTCAGTGGCTTGATCATATATTAAGTTGATGGGTTTGTTTATTTATTTTGGTTTGGTTAGGTTTATTGTTGTTTGCTATTAGGAAATAGCTTTGATATAAGTCGATCCTACATTATTTTGTGATCTTGTAGTATTGCAAAATTCACTTTTGCATTTTACATTATTACTCTGTTAAATATATATAAATTACCTTTTTTGGTAAATTACATTTTAAATATAACTATTTTTATGTTTTTCCTTAGGTCTTAAAGAAAGTGCAGAAGAGATGGTCAAAAACAAATTGGAAGGAAAGGATAAACTGACTCCTTGGGAACAATTTTTAGAGAAGAAGAAAGAGAAAAAAAGACTGAAAAAGAAACAGAAGGTATCAAAGATAATTATGGCCAAATATTTATTGAACAACAGTTATGTATGAAACAGTACCAGGTGCTCAGCACCTATTATCACACAGTGTAACCACTCACTGGAGTAGGCCTTGTTACCATTGCAGTTTTAAGAAAGACAAAAAGGAAAATCTAATAGTTTAAGTGTTTTCTGTGAGGCTACATAATGTTATACAATGTCTGGTAAAAACTCAGAGCCACTTTAATCCACAGCCGCTATACTCTAAAATTTTGCATTTAGTTGATGTCTGGATATGAAACAGCTTGATTCTCTTTTGTTTTTGAGGAAAAGAGGTACATACAGACTTCTTTACTTGAGGATATATGCATATAAAAATTGTCATTAAGTCATTGCAGATTTAGCTTCTTTAGTGATAGCAGAGACCACTTAAGGGTTTTGCCACTGAAAATACTCTTGTCACCAAGTGCAGCATTCTATCAGTAAAGTCATTTTCTTAAGATGGTATCACTAATTACAGAATTTTACAACTTGAGGAATCTTAAATGATTAGTTCTAGTTGGTCCCTGATGTTTTATAGTTTTAGAAAATTAAGTGATTTGTCTGAGCTCTCACTCCAGTGTCTCTCTACTGCACTGTGTTCTCTCTCTCTCTCTTGTACTTTTGTAAAGCTGTGACTTTCAGGGCTTATAAAGATAGAGGGCTACAGAACTAAATGATACAATGGAGTACAATGATTTTTTTACTCCTAAAGTCAGTATTCCTGTAAGTGGCTAGGGAAAGGGGTAAGACCCCTACCCCATTATTGGTATGCTACCTCTCTTCTTCCCTAGAACTTCCTTTAAAACTAAGTAGGCAGAATAATTTCACAGGTCATTAAGCCATCAGTTTATTGGAAGACTTACAAGTGGGTCTCTGTAGGGTCGGTAAAGTAGTTCCTTTGTTCTGAGACCTTTAGCAGCTATTTGATTTTATTTATATAAAATAAATTATATCTTTGATTTTCATTTGCTAGGTGCCTTCCCTTCATTAGACAAAAACTGGGCACATTTTACCAATAACATTAAAAATACACCCCGTTTGTTCCAGACTCTGTGTTCTGTACTGGACTTGGTGATAGCAGATCCCTTCCAACTCCACAGGTTCTCCATATGTACAAGGATTTCAAGAAAATTTTTCAAGTTATAGTTTTCCCCTTTTCAGCTCTGTGACTTTAATTTTGATACTGAGAAATGTTTATTGAAGAAATGAATACATGTTTATGTGCCATAGTTGATAATAAGTATAGTTTAAATCTAAAAAACAGTTATACATGAGTAGATTTGAAGTTAGATATAAATGTTCCATAATCTTTGTTAGAAACATATTTTTGCTGAATCTATTATAATATTTTAGTGAAAAAAATTTAGACGCCCTGTTCTTAAAAGGGTATTAATATCATAATGAATATTTTTGGGCTTGCTGGGTCTTCTTCAGCGTGCAGGATGATGCTTAGCAATGTGCATTCTAAATTCTTCTGTTAAAATGACTCATGTTTTAAATTCCTGGGAATAAACTCAAGTCTGATCTTGGTTCCCACGTGTTCTGTTTATTTTATAGACTTGAATTTTTAATTAAACATGCTAATTTAGTAGATAGTCTATTCACATTTTATTAGCAACAATTTAACTAACGAGATTTGCTTAAAAATAGTCCAAGAGTACTTAGGGGTAGATTGTGGATAAAAAAAAGATATTTGCTGAAATTTGGGTGATAAAAATGAACAGGTGGATATCCCAACTGCTTTTACATATATTTGAATTTTCAAAATAACTGTTATTTTTAATTAACCAACAAATAAAGTGTTTTAAATAATAATTTAAAAGATAACCCATAATGTACTACTCATACTATTTATAACACACTGCTCTTTCTCAATTTTCTGAGAGAGAAGGCCACCTCTCTTCACTGACTAGCCATCTAAAAGTATTTTCCTCCTTTGAATGTCTGTATCATTTTATTTTTGTCTCTTCTTGCATTTCCTGTCTTGAATTATTACTACTGATATGTATGTCTATTTGTGTCTAATTTCTCTTAATAGATTGTAAAATTTTTAAAGACAAAAACCATGTATCTGATAACTTTCATTTCTCCCCATTGCCTTACATAGTTTCCTGCATTTATTAAGTGTTCCACAAATATTGGTTGAACAGAAGAATAACTTAGATGGGAGTTATTTTATAAACTGAACAATTAATTAACTGGTTTAATTAAATTATTTTTATTTAAATGTGATTTGAAAGAAATCATATTATTTTCCTTCATATATATACACATATATATATGATGGTCCTTGTAATAAACTATATGTGTTTTACATTCAACCTTAAGGCTCTTGCTGAAGAGTCCAGTGAAGATGAACTTCCCTCTGATGTTGATATGAATGACCCATACTTTGCTGAAGAAGTTAAAAAAATTGGTAAGCCAGCACACATTTGTAGTTTTCAATTGGAATCTAAAGAAAAAAGGTAACATTGGTTGAAACAGTATAAGCCACTCATTGTTTTAAAATTCCTAGTATTTGTATACCTCCCCTAGGGCCTTATAAGTAGGTCTGTCTTAGGGTATAACCACTGACCAGATTAAGAAGGGTCGGCCTGCTCCCTGTACATGCAAAGAGTAATGTCATTGCAAGAGGTTTTGGGTAACATGATTAATTTAACAGTATACTGGAAAATCCTTTCTGGGAAATATCCTTATAGACAGGTTGACTATAAAAGACTGAAAGAAAATGGAATAGTCATCTACTTGTATGCTCTCACTGCTTTTTTATAACGCATCCACTCTAGGTCTCTTTGCAAAGGCTATGGAGAATTGAAAATATGAAATAAATTTGTTTAGTGGATATATTTATAAATTTAAAATTTTTACATGGTGTTATATGAAAGTTTTTCTGCTCAAATATACAAAAACATCCATGTTTCATATTCTCTTTGCATTTATCCTGCTTCCTTATAACTGAAAAGCAACTTCCTCCCCTTTTTCCTTGAATTCCCTAAACTATCTGGAATTTGATTTCCTATATCCACAGAGTCTTACTTCCATTGCATTTGCACCACTCATTCTTTTCTGAATGCTTTTATTCTTACCTTTTCGGTATGTATAAATGTGTGTGGTAAGGTTCAGGCCTGATTTGGACAAGTCAGTGCAGAGACCACTATAAGCATTTTCCATTCCCTCTCATGCATTTTGCTTTGCCCTGATCTGAATACCACACACATGAACCCAAAGGCTTGCTCCTGGAATAACTCCAAGCTGGCATTGTAAAGAGAAGGATTTTATGAAGTTTTCCTGCTTCTTGTCCCTCGTGACTAGTGGGCCAGAATAGTTCTCAACAGGAAAGTCAAAATTGCTCAAAATTATTTCCTGGTTGTTATAGCCTTTTAGCACTGACATTTTATTGATGAAAAGGAGATCAAGATGAATAAAGTCTATTATAGGATGTGAGATTCTTAGGAATTGGAAAGGGAAATGGAAACTTAGCATGTTCTGCTTTTTATCATACCTGAGCGGTCATTTCTAGATGATGATGGATTTTAGTCTTATCCTCTGATTTCAGGAAACCAAGTTTATTATATGGAGAAATGCAAAGCATTATAGTTTCCTTGTTCTCATTCCAAAGTGCTTCATTTGGCATGTGAAATCTGGTCTGATTGCAGAACTCAGGACAGGATTCAAAGAGTAAGTTAAATGGTTTGATGGCTTGGGTAGCTTATTTCTTGGAATCAGCACATTTCAATTGTGAATAAGCTTTTTCTAAAGTTACTGTCATAAGTTCCAAGGGAAAGTATAGATAAAATTTGCTTGCTTTCAATATACTTTTGATTTCAGAATACTGCATAGGAGTAATTATATATGGGCTTTTTTTTTAAAGCAAAAATAATAATAGAAAGGCTGAGAACGTTTTAATATAAAACTTAGCACTAAAAAATGGTATCTTGCCATGTTTGTTTACTCATTCTATCAGTAAACACTTTTGAGTGCCTACCAGATGCTGGGCACTCTGCTAGGCTAGACATACAACAGTAGTAATATAGGCAAGGTTACCTCCCTTGGGTATAGTTTTAGGGAAAATATGCTAAACTGGTAAACAAATAAGAATATTTGAGAATATGGTCAGTGTTTTAAAGGAAATAAATACAGTAATATAGAGGATAAAATGGGGAGGAATAAGGAGAGTAGCTTACTTTACACAGGGTAGGCAAAAAAAGGTTTCTCTAAGGTGGTGATAATAGAGCTGACACCTGTAGAATAAGAGAGAATCAGGCATAAAGAGCTGGGGGAAGAGCATTGCCAATGAGAGAAAAGTGGGTAGAAAGGCTATGAGAGGAGAAAGAACTTGTGGTGGAGAAATTGAGACTGCAATACAGCTGGAGCATGGACAGCGCGGGAATTTGGCCAGGCTGGGATGCAGGACTGACCCTGCAGGGCCTTGTTGTCCTGGAAACAAATTTGGATGCTGTTCTTCTGACAGTGGGAAGTCACTGAAGGGTCTTTAAGCAAGTATGTGACATGGTCTGGTGTATATTTTAACATTAATCTGGTTCCTGTGCAGAGAACAGATTAAAGAAAGGCATCGGTAAAAGCTGGGAGATCAGGATTTTGCAGAGGTCTTGATGAGATGATGGCTGGTTTAGATGGCATATCAGTAATGGAACTGGAAGGAAAAAACTGAGTGGGATTTGATATATGTTTGGCAGGTAGGCTTGCTAATTTAGTTAGATAGGACGAAATTTAGCGTAACTCGTAGGTTTTTGGTTTGAGTCTCTGGAAGAATGCTCTTCCACTTACTGAGGAGGGAATGTAGGAGCAGAAGGTTTGGGTGGCAGCAAGGTCAGTAGGTTCATTTTGTATATAATTGCTTTGAGATATCAGTTAGACATCCAAATGTAAATATTAGTGTAGGAGATATGCTGAGTAGTCAAAGTATAAATATAGATTACAGATCAGTAAAATAATATTTCAAACTATGGGACTGGAGGTAGAAAGCATTGATTAGAGAGGAGAATGCAGGATTGGACTGTCACTGTTATACTAGCAAAGGTACTACATGGAAGGTAGCGGGAAAGTCTAAGAAACTGCGGAGGAGCAGCATTAATGTTTGGAAGGATATGTATGTATATATTTCAAATCCCATGGTTGAAGACAGATATATTTTAAACCAGATAGACTTGGGTACATTTATGATACCTTTGCCCTAGGCAAGCCCAGAGAACTGAACTTACACTCTTCAAATTAGGGAGGAACTGAGTTCATTGATTGATGCCAGACATGGTGTTTGGCTTGGGTTAGGAGCCAGTTTGAATGCCAGAAATCTTTTCTAATTTTTCCTTCTCTTTTCTCCCCTTACACTATAAACTTGCTATAATTTTTCTATTTTTTGTAAACTTCAAACTTGATATCAAATGAGTTTCAAAAATGTAATGTACTTGTAGCATGAAGTAAAAGTTACTGTTTTCTAATTGCATAAGCTCCTTATTAAGATTGTTTTTTATGAAGTAGGAGTGAAATAAAGTACATCACATGTAAATATACCCCATTAAAAGGTAGCCTTTGTCTTGACAACTTTAGATATTTGATAAACCACCTTGAAAATCTAATAATATGGTACACGTATTTTATTCATTCAACCGGTATGTGGAATGCTTATTGTGTACTGCTCATATGTTGTTTTACAGTTTGCAAATGTTTTTATATTTATTCTGTCCTCTAATCCAAATATCAGCCCACTTTATGGATGAGTAAACTGAAGCTCAAGAAACATAGTTGAATTGTGTAAGACAAGTGGTAGATGGTAGAACTTGAACCCTAATGGGTTCCCTTTACATTTTGTAATTCCACAAGTACATTGTGTAGATCAAAGCCAGAGCCAGGACATGAGGAATATGTATAAGAGCCGGACATGAGGAATTCCTGGATTTCCAAGCAAAGCCAGAATGCCCAGGTCCAGAGAAAGATTAACAGACTGCATCTGATTATGGGCAAGTGATTTTGAATTTAGGAATGTGCTGCAAAAAGTGAATTAGTAGTGGGTTTACCACTCCTGTCTGGTCAGTACTGAGACCATGTCTGCCCTCCACTGAATTCTCTTAACTACTGTCTCACAAGAAGTGCTTAACTAAACCTTCTGGAGGAAGGTTTTTATGGGAACAGTTCTATGACATTACAAGTAATGAAAAATGGAATTTCTTTTATAGATAGTCATTTTACAGATCGATTTATTGCAGCACATTTTTTTCCATAGATGTACTCTGTTAACATTTTTTGCTTAAAGGGATAGCAGCCTCAGTAAGGATTTTTTTTAGATTTATTTTTTTAACTATAAAACTCTAATACCTGATTTCCAGTCTCTGTTAGTATTCATCCTAGTAGAGTCAATCCATATGTACTTTTTGCAGCAGTCTTAAGAGGTGTGTGTGGTTTCTAACTTGCCAAATAATTCACTGAAAAATAAAGATAACTGCAGAATAGGACTTTCATTTCTATCGTACTCTTCATTTAACTTAGGTCTGAAAACTTTCCAAAGGGAAAAAGATAAATTAAGATGTGCCCTCTTAATATGGTCTTGTTAACAGTGCAGAAAGGATCTCTACACATTATTTATCTTTTGGCTAAACAGTTCAGTCTAGCACACAGTAAATTCTTTGTGAGCGAAGACATTTTCATCACGCTAAAATTGGATATCATTTTTAACCCTGACCATCTTGGAGCTTCTTTTTTTCCTCCCTTGCTGCAGTCTTCCTTTCAAGTTTATTTTTATGACTTTTCACCAGGTTGTTATAAAATCCGGAACAGTTCATTGTGGGCTCTTTGAAATTATTTCCCACAGCTGTATGTGAAGATCTTTATCTCTGTTATGGATTAATCAGATACAGCCTGATTTTTTTTCCCCTCCCACAGAATGATCTTCTATATTTGTCACTTGTCCATTCACTTCAAAAGGAGCTCTTGCCTTGAGAGCATAGGAACTTAGGGTGTGGGAGTCAGACCCAAAGAAAGTGAAACCTTGATGATACACACACACACACACACACACACACACACACACACACACACACACACACACATATACACATTTAAAACAGAGAAAAAAGTATATTCTTAGAGTGGATACATCATTTCCTGAAAAACATTTGAAATAGGAGCAAAAAAGATTTTCATCCTAAGGAAAGGGGCTGCATACAATAGTATTTCTTCTTAGAAGTGTAGACAGATGCCTTGGTAGTGTGCGGGGTGAACCAGCAGCACTTTCATGCTGGCATGCTCTCGGCTGGGCACGGCTACATAAGTACAGCAGGGACCTAATGCACACAAAGCAGTTCTTAAAGCCTATCTACTTTAGACTTTGAACTTTACTTTCTTACTTCACATCAAAATGCATTTTAAATAGAAAGGCTGTTACAGGGGGAATATTTGATAGCAGAGGAGGGTAGTGTGGTTAACAGGAGAGAGCCTGAGCCACAGTACTTGGATGTGAATTACAGTTCTTTCACTTACCAAACTTGAGAATAATTATTTAACCTCTCTCTGCTTCAGTTTTCTCATCTGCAGAATGGGGATCATAATAAATAATAGAATCTATCTCATGTTATGAGAATTAAATTAGTTAATATATGTAAAGACTAGAGGCCCGGTGCACAAATTTGTGCATCAGTGGGGTCCCTCGGCCTGGCCTGCGGGATTGGGCCAAACCTGGCTCTCCGACATCCCTCAGGGGTCCCAGATTGCAAGAGGGCATGGGCCAGGCCAAGGGACCCCACCCATGCATGATTGGGGCTGGAGAGGGATGCGGGAGGTTGGCCAGCTGGGGAGGGACCAGGAGAGCTCCAGGGCATGTCTGGCTCCTCTCGCTCAGTCCCAATTGGCCGGACCCCAACAGCAAGCTAACCTAGTAGTTAGAGGTCTGCCCCCTGGTGGTCAGTGCACGTCATAGCGACTGGTTGACTGTCTGCCCCTGGTGGTCAGTGCATGTCATAGTGACTGGTCGACTGTCTGCCCCCTGGCAGTCAGTGCACGTCATAGCGAGCTGTTGAGCAGCCTTAGCATATCATTAGCATATTATGCTTTGATTGGTTGAATGGACGACCAGACACTTAGCATATTAGGCTAGTATCCTAGAACAGTACTACTCCCTGACATAGTAAAGTGCTATGTAAACATTAACCATAAACTTCAGAGACCATTGTTTCTTTGCATTGGAAAGACAGAACACAGCTTATTCAAAAAGACAGGGTCCAGCAGTTCAGAGAAGACCGGCATTGTGTGTTAATGCTCTAGAGTAGCACAACAATGGCTTTGTAGATTCTGAACCCTCTTTCTTTTCAGACTAGTCTTTCACACCTTAGCACCCTGAAACCAACTCCCTTTGAATTCCTTTCACTCCAATAGCCACAAAATAGGAAGAAAAAAAAGGCATCAATCAGCCTGATCACCAAGAAGCCTAGTCAGATTATCCTAACAGTAGCAGCAAGCACTTTATAGTGCCACATGGCAGGCATTAACTAAGATCTTTGCATGTACTAATTTACTTAGTCCTCACAACACCCTATGAGGTAGGTGCGATTATCCCCATTTTACAGGTAAGGACACAGGTACAAACTGCCACAGCTAAACTCCGCTGGTAGAGCCAGAATTTAAAGCCAAGTCACCGCTCCAGAGTCCAGTGCCCTTACCTGCTGCACATTCTCCCTCCCATTAGGATGAGGACATCTCAGCCAACACCCTGTGGTCTCTAGAAGTCCTGGAGCCCCTGAAAATACAAGCAGTTTTCCAGTCAGGACCAGCTCTTACCATAAGTGATTTTGCCTCATAATAGAGTAGGAAGTTAACCAAAGGTCAAATTTGTCTTGAGACAAGGAGAAAGCGTTTTGTTAAACTATTACTTACAGGTAGTTACTGTCAAATTGTTATTATAAAGATGAAGTTTTCATTTTGCAGATGAGTTTAAGTAGCTATACTACCCTGTATTTTCTCATAAGGTTTTTTTCTTAATGTTTAACTCATTAACCTATCTGCATTTTATTTGCCTGTACATTAGGGGGTAATACAATAACTTGATTTTTTTTTTTAAGTAATGTCTGATGCTACATCTTACATCCTAAGCTATATTATTGTTTTTCTGTATTATACAGTACAATATTTTTTGTAGTACATTTTAATAAACTGTATCACTAGTATATCAAATCTATCTTGTTCATCTTTGTAAAGATTTCCTTGAATGGAATTTTATCTAGAATTTCGTTAAATGTATGTATCTTATCATGACTGGATATAGAATTTCATCAAATGCTTATTCTATATGTATTGAAATGATCTTATGGTTTTTCTCTCTCAGTTAATAATATAATTATACATCACTTTCAAGAGAAATTGCTTTTTTATAATATTCAGTTAACTCATCCAGAAGTATTATATTTATTCCATTCTCAGTAATCTCTCAGTAATATTTTTTTACGGACCCCTGATGGGTCCTTAGCACTGCCGTGGAGGTGGGAAAGGCTCCTACCACCGCCACTGTGCTCGCCAGCCGTGAGCCCAGCTTCTGGCTGAGTGGGAGCACACTGACCACCAGGGGGCAGCTCTTGCATAGAGTGTCTGCCCTCTGGTGGTCAGCGCACATCATAGCAACCGGTTATTCCACCATTCAGTGGATTTGCATATTAGCCTTTTATTATATAGGATTATTCCTAGATATCTTACATTTTTGTTCCTACTGTGAACATATTGTTGCCGATAGTCTTGTAATTTTTAACCCTCCAATTTTGTTTGGTATAAAAGAAAAGAAGAAATCAGTGAAATCTGCAACAGATGGCCCATCTCCAGAGGAGGAGGCTGAAATAGAGAAACAAAAGGTAAGCGATCATCGGTACTCACACTATCATTCATAGCTAATTTAAATGAAGTTCATCTAAATCCCATAATACAAGGAGACGTATATAATACTCTTTGTAATACTTTAAGCAATAAAACAATTTAATAAAAAATAAATCCCATAATACAGACTGCTTTCTGTGGTTTATCAAATCCTAATTTCTCTCATTATTATTATAAAAATCATAAGTTTAATGTACAAAAGTAAAGTCTTTTCTTTGAAGTGCAGTGAACCTTTTCTTCAGTGACTCCAAAGACCCATGGCTCAGAGTAATAGGTATTTTTGCTGAGGCAGGAATTGGAGTCAACAACATCCCTATGACTGATATCCACATCTGTATTTGGGAGTGAGCCTGGCTGGTCACTTAAACTCTGCGTTTTAATGGACCTTTTCTGTTCTCCACTTATTGCATATACAGTAATACTCATAGAGTTAAGGAGCACAAAGATGAGCTCTCTTGTGGAAAATGGCTCTAAAAAGAAAACCAACTGTAGGTGCCAGTGATGAAAGTAAAAGGAAATTAAAGCAGTCTGAAGTAGTAATATTGGAAGATTCACAAAAGTCTGACAGTATCCTCTTTATTTTCTCTAGTATACATCATTGTTTACTTGGTTCTTGAGAATTCACATTTAATACTATCGCATGTCGGTAGAAAATACCTATTTAGTGGAAAAGATGATATAGTTCAGAAACAAATATTAAGATAGATCACTTCATAGAAACATATCAATATTGAAACAATAAATGCAAAAAAGGCAAAAGGAAAATAAATTTCTTGTTGTTAATATGCATGTTTAAAGAGTAGCTTGTACCACAAAATACTATGTTTGCTGTATTTAGTATCACTGCATTAAAAGACCAAAGTGAAAATGATAAATTTTTATTTGGGTGACTTGGGGACTCATTCCTACAGCCTACTAACCAGTTACACTAACGTGGAATGTGGTGTAAATACAGACTTTCACCCTTCTCCTACTGTCAGTGATGTTGCTTCTGAAGCGTTTATCTGTGGCTTACAGCAGTACAAAGATCTCTGGGTTTCTTTGTGAGTTTCCGTAATCCACAATCAGTTTACAGATAACAGATGTTATCCTGGATCATTGGTGACTGAGTTCTCCTTTTCTGGAGGGCATTTCATACTCCATATTCCTGTTTGGGGAAGAAAAACATTGTTGGACGTTTGAACTTTTTTTTCCTCTTTATAGGCTGAAATGGCTTTGCTCATGATGGATGAGGAGGAAGAGAACAAGAAACACTTCAATTACAACAAGATTGTGGAGCACCAGAATCTAAGCAAAAAGAAGAAAAAACAGCTTATAAAAAAGAAGGAGTTATTAGAGGATGACTTTGAGGTAACCAGGGACAGATGCCATTAGCCTTTTAAAGCTGGTGTTGACTCTAGTCTAGAGTCAGGTCTGGAGATAAAAATTAAACATAGTGAAAGTCAGCCTTGAGATGTCTTAGGAAGGACTATGGAACCAAAATTACCATCTCTTAGTCCTACACAGCCAGTTGAGCACCGGGTGAAACCATGGTGGTTTGGTAGAAAGATAGAAGATAAATTTGGGGCTTGTATCTGACCAGATCTTGGTTTCAGGGGTGCCTCCTTTTCCATAGTGGTCTCCCAAATCTTTTCACCTATGAATCACCCTCAGTAGCTACTCATTTGGGCACTAAGGTTAAAAATGTTTTAATGTACTTCCAATACAGTGACTTTGCATAAAACTTCAGCAGGAGATACCGTCTCTGGCTGACTTATCTCAGCCAGAAACAGATTTCACACTGTAAGCGTTGGGTACCACGCCTCCGGAACCACTTCGACAATCCTTCATCTGCGTGGCCAGTATACTACAGGCACATATGTATAGACCACTACAGTTCCCTTCCAAGGAGATTGTTGCACGATTGGAAGTGTGTCCTGCACATTGTGATCTAAGAGTAGGCTTTAAAAGTCCATTGAAGATCCTGTGGGAAAGCAACTTTCTAATGAAGCTATGCAAATTACTCACATTTATATTTTTATACAGTTAGCCACTCACTGAACTTTTTTTCCAGTTACAGTTGACATTCAACATTATATTAGTTTCAGTGTACACCATAGTGGTTAAACATTTATATAACTTATGAAGTGATCCCCTCATCCCCCAATAACAACTCATTGACTTAAAATTTGGCCCCATTTCTGGGCCTTTTGGTTTAATAATTTAATTTATTTTTATTTTCCTTTTGGATTTACAGGTAAATGTTAAGGATGCACGGTTTCAGGCAATGTATACTTCCCACTTGTTCAATTTGGACCCTTCGGATCCTAACTTCAAGAAAACAAAAGCTATGGACAAAATTCTTGAGGAGAAAGCCCGTCAAAGAGAACAAAAAGAACAAGAACTAACTCAGGCAATAAAGAAAAAAGAGAGTGAAATTCAAAAGGAATCACAAAAGAGGTCCATTGATCCTGCCTTGTCAATGTTGATTAAATCGGTAAAAAACAAAACAGAGCAGTTTCAAGCAAGAAAAAAACAAAAAGTCAAATAGCTGTATGTTGTTTCTTTTTAGATTAGAAATGTGATCTCTCTAAAGTTTACAAAAGTGGTAGAAAGAATATTTATTGGGAACAAAGCTACCTTTCAAGAATATGAATAAAGTCTTACTCTGACTATTGAAAAATGTCTCTTGCATATAATGGTTAGACCTAATTGTGGATGATTGACATATTTGTGCTCTGTTTTTCCACAGATTAATCGTAGGTAATTCAGTTAATCTAAATTATAGTATTTATAAAATACTAAATTTTATATTTTATCAAATTCAGTTCATACTAGAAAATTATTCTAAAGTAGCTTCTTTTAAAGACTACAATTCTATGTGAAAAAATAGAACACAGTGCCGAATTTATTTTTCTAGCCCTAATGGATGGAAGCCAATAACTTTCTTTGTTGTTTGGACATGCTTATTATAGTTGGATTATGAAATTAATTTGTAAATAAAAAGTACTAAGTATTTTTATTATTTTATATATCAGTGATTTATTTTATTTTAAGCATCTCAAATAAGCTACTCTCTGGAAAATATCTGAAAAACTTTCTTCTTTAAGGGGACAACTCCATGAAGAGGCAGTTCTAGGTTTTCATTGCTCTGAAATTTTCGTGAGCTCTACAATGATTTTTTTTTTTTTTAAGTAACATAATTCTTTCATCTACCCTTCAGATTTTTGGAATGCTTCGAGAGTGGATTTGCTGCTATAAAGTTTAAGGAATCTTAATTTTTTTTTAAATTAAAACACACCTTCAAGGCCTGGATCTCATCTAGTCTAGGTTTTATAAACTATTCACTGTCCACTTAGAGGAATTAGGTGTGCTATATAAATAAATGAAAATAGAAACCAAGATGGTCACATGGAACGAATGATAAATATAGTAGCTTCTGAAAGACATAGGAGTTCAGCCAGCTTTGTGGTTAATAGTTAATTTGACATTTTTTGGTATAAAAATTCAAGTCTACCAATGTAGTATTGTTTTTCTTTTCTTTTTTTTGCATTCATTAGTTGCTTCTTGTATGTGCCCTGACTTGGGATCAAACCCACAACCTTGGTGTATCAGGACAACATAACCAACTGAGTTACCTGGCCAAAGCAATGTAGTAATTTTTTTTAAGAATGTAAGTATGTAGCCCTAGCCGATTTGACTCAGTGGATAGAGCTTCGGCCTGCGGACCGAAGAGTCCCAAATTTGATTTCCATCAAGGGCATGTACTTCGGTTGTATGCTTCTCCCTGGCCTGAACCCTGGTCAGGGCGCATGCAGGAGGCAATCAATCTGTGTTTCTCTCACGTCAATATTTTTCTCTGTCTTTCCCTCTCTCTTCCACTCTCTCTAAAAATCAATGGAAAAATGTCTTTGGGTGAGGATTTAAAAAAAATAAAGAAGAATGTACGTATATAAAACCAACATCAATGCCCTACCAGCCTGGGGACTGAAAGGGCCCAGGTTCAATTCCAGTCAAGGGCGCATGCCTGGGTTGTGGGCTCGGTCCAACGTGCAGGAGGCAGCCAATCAATGATTCCCTCTCATCATTGATGTTTCTCTCTCTCTTCCTTTCCCTTCCTCTCTGAAGTCAATAAAAATGTATTTTAAAAAATGATAACATGATAATAGGTGTAGCCCGGCCAGTGTCGCTAAGTGGTTAGATCATCGGCCTTCACACAAAAGGGTCTCAGGTTCAATTCCCAGTCAAGGGCACATATCTGGGTTGCAGGTTTTTTAAAATATATTTTTATTGATTTCAGAGAGGGAGAGAAAGGTAGAAATATCAATGATGAGAGAGAATCATTGATCGGCTGCCTCCTGCACACTCCATATGGGGATCAAGCTAGCAACCCAGGCATGTGCCCTGACCAGGAATTTAACTGTGACTTCCTGTTTCATAGGTCGAGGCTCAACTACTGAGCCATCCTGGCCGGGGTTGCAGATTTGATCCCCTGAGGCAACCAGTGTGTCTCTCACATCAGTGCTTCTCTTTCTCTCTCTGCGTTTCCTTCCACTCTCTCTGAAAAATTAATGGAAAAAAATATATTCAGGTGGGGATTAACAGCAACAAACAAAAGATAATAGGTATATAGACTGTGAAAGAGAAAGGAAAAAAGAAGACATTTAAATTACTCATAACAGAGAAAAATGCAGAGTATTGTACAGGGAATTGGGTTTTTCTAGCATAAACAACTGATAATTCAACCCAATAAAGCATTGTTCCTGTTTACCAATGTGAACTTCCTGATATTTATCCACTTGTCATTGAAAGATCATGAATCTTAATGTGTTTATGAATTTAGTCTGTGAACAGTTATGTAATTTTTTATATTTCATTTATGCAAGGAAAAAGACTTGTTTCTTCTAAACTTTTTATAGTGTAGGGATTACTCAGTTTGACTTCAAGGTTTCTGGGAAGCTTAGCCCTTTGGATTTTAATTGTTTTGGTTTGAGTTTTTGTTTTTGAGCCCTTCTTTTTTTTTTTAAGACACTGTATTTAATTATAAATCTCATTTTCTTAGGCTCATAATTGATTATAACAGGTAAGTTGAGCACGTAACTTATGCATAGCCCTAGTTCCTTTTCTCAAAGAGGTGATATTTTTTAGGTAGAAAAAAAAATTAGAATAGCATTATGAGGTACAGCATTAAATAAACATTCTACATCAAGAACATTAGGCTCTCAATAAATAATTGCTGGTAGTAACACTCTGGATAAAAAATGGCCACTGTTACAATTCAAACCATTGGAGGATAGTTTGGGTGACTTCATATTTTTTAATTGATTTTTAGAGAGAGAAGGAGGGTAAGGGAGGGAGAAACATCTATGTGAGAGCACAACATCAATTGGCTGCCTACTGCATGCCCCCCACCAGGGATTGAGCCCACAACCTAGGTATGTGCCCCAATTGGGGATTGAATGGGCAACCCTCAGTGCACTGGGAGGATGCCAAACCAACTGAGTCACACCCGACAGGGCTGGGTTACTCTTAGGGTCACATTTATTTGGATTTTTGTTGCTGTTGTTGTTGGGACCATAGAGAACAGGTCAGCATTATAGCATCCAGAGTCATAAGTGACTCAAGACCAGTGAAGCTCTGGTTTCTCAGACTTCTTTTATATCTACAATAATAAAAGCATAATATGCTAATTAGACCAGAAGTCCTTCTGGATGTGATTCCAGACATTCTTCGGACGAAGCCGGGGCCGGAGCGAAGCCCAGGTCCTGGGTGCCTGCTGGCGGCCAGAGGAAAGCCCAGGTCCCAGTTGCCAGAGGGAAGCCAGTGCTGGCAGCTGGGGGAAGGAAGGCCTACTCTTGCATGAATTTCGTGCATCGGGCCTTTAGAGTGTGTGTGTGTGTGTGTGTGTGTGTGTGTGTGTGTGTTATGTACTAGAGGCCTGATGCACAAATTAGTGCACGGGTGGGGTCCCTTAGCCCAGCCTGAGCCCTCTCTCCGTCCAGGACTCCTCGGGGGATGTCAAACATCCCTCTCACAGTCTGGGACCCCTCGCTCCTTACCGCCTGCCTGCAGCAGAGGCGGGAGAGGCTCCCACCACTGCTGCTGCACTCGCCAGCCGTGAACGCGGCTTCTGGCAGAGCAGCACTACCCCTGTGGGAGCGCACTGACCACCAGGGGGCAGCTCCTGTGTTGAGCATCTGCCCCCTGGTGGTCGGTGCACATCATAGCGACTGGTCAACTGGTCGACTGTCTGCCCCCCGGTTGTCAGTGCACATCATAGCGAGCAGTTGAGCAGCCTTAGCATATTACGCTTTGATTGGTTGAACAACCGACCCAGTCAATTGGACACTTAGCATATTAGGCTTTTATTTTATAAGATACATATATATACACACATATGTGCATATGTATGTGTGTGTGTGTATATATATATAAATATTTAATTGATTTCAATTAAAGAGAGATAGAAACAATCAATGATGAGAGATAATCAACCATTGGCTGCCTCCTGCACGCCCCCTTCTGGAGATCGAGCCCACAGCCCAGGCATGTGCCCTTGACCAGAATCGAACCTTGGATCCTTTGATCTGCAGGCCAATGCTCTATTCAGCTAGGGCTGGTTTCTCAGTCTTTCATCATCAGTCTTGGGGACCAGCTTAGTACCCACTGTCATTGCTACTGTATCCAAGGGAGATGGGTTAGAGACACAGGCAGAATAGTAATGATGGCACTCATTCCATATTCTCTACCAAGTAGGCCAATGTTAGGTAACATCATGGCCTTTTTTGCTCATTAATATCATTTGGTATAATTTTTAAAGTTCCGATGGACAGTCTGCATCCTACACCTATTAAATTGTACCTATGGGATAGGATCCAGTCATTATTTTATAAAGCTCCATTGGTAATTCCAATATGCAGCCAAGGTTGAGGACCACTGTAGAAGGAAAAAGAAAGCTCATTTTCTGTTTGGTCCACCAGATCAGAAACAAATGAACTCAATATCAACTTGATCTATTAGCTCTTACTGCTTTATAAACCACCCAAACATAGTGGTGGTTTATAAACCACCCAAACAGCAAACATTTATTATTTCTTATGAATCTGTGGGTTGGCTAGGCAGTTAGGATCTAGGCCAGCTCAGCTGCTGAGCTGCAACTTGTTGGGACTCTACATTAGATTCTTCACATGGTGACAGAAGGGTTCCCAACTGCAAGAGAAGGTAAGTCCCAAAGAGACAAGCCAGTAAGCCAGGACAAGCAGAATAGGGAAACTGAGATATAGTTACATAGCAGTTTGCAGCCACCTAGTAAATCCTACTTTCCCTAAACCAGGGACACTTAGAGTAAATGGTTTGCACTTCTCCACAACCAGAAGGTAAATAGCTTAAATCACCCTACTCAGCGAGACAGTAGAAATCCAATTAATGCCATTTGCCAACCACACTCAAGGACAGATGAAGTTAAGAGAATAAATTTCATTTTGGTAGATCAGCATAAAGCTGATGAATATTCTGCTAATCCTCCTCTAATACCTCCCCTAAATGCCTAACCTTTGAAAGTCCTCAAAATGAAAGTCCCAGTGCCTGCTCTCCCTCACAGGGGCATGCCTGTACCTCCCCACCCCCCTCTCAACCCCTCCCCACCTTTATACACAGGCATGCATCTCCTAAACTTTAAGGGAC